GTAAATTTTCGAATTTAATTGTCCACTTTTTTGGCAACAAAATTAATATGATTTCCATAAATATAGGTTGTTTCTGTTTTTTTATTATTTATTTAATTTTTAAAAAGATTTTGCTGTCATTAATTTTGTTTGGCAACTTGTTTAAGTTTCATGACATTTTTTAAAAAAATTGGGGGCTGTTTGGCTTCTTGTTGTGCTTCCCAATTAATAGTATAGATTACTGTTCTTTGGATGCAATCTATTGTCACATGGCACATATTGCTCATATCATATAAAAAATAATCAGAAATATTCATTTAAAAGGGTAAATAATTTTGTCTTATTTTATGTAATTTTTTTTATTTCTTATTACTAATCTTATTGTTCATAGATGATAATTATAGTCCTACATATAAAAAAACAAAAAAAGAAATACATCAAGCTTTGCAAGGAAACGTGCAGAGGCAGCTCTTTAGGTAGACGTTTGGGAAGCACAAGCCATTTCCATTCCATTTTTTCTTACATAGAGCGGCACATTCGCCAGCGTTGCAGTTCTGAGACCTCATTAGAAGATCACGACACATCTCTTGTCCTTGCGTCACATTCATCATCATCCCTTATCAATATATTCAAAACATAACATTTTAACACAATTTATATAGAACTAAAAAAAAATAGCTGAGAAAAAATTCATATATGAATGTTCTAATAAGTTTAGAGGATGGGTAAATGTAAAGCAAACCTATAACGAGGACGATCATAAAGATAGCAAAAACGGTGCTTTTAGTCATCTTTTGATGATATATACAATAGAAATGAAAATTTCAAAGTATATGAAAAAACTAGGAATGTTAATGGTAATGTACATGTAGCTATCATACATATATATATAAGAACTAACACCCCAAAAAAATAAAAATCTAACAAATTAAAGTAGCTAGACCAAATCAATTAGATAATTGTATAGATGCTGTGAATGGAAACAAAATCATAAAAAAAATATACGGGATATTTACTAATAACTATGACTAATAATTAAAAAGAAAAATTGTATATATTGAATGGACGTACATTAGATCTTTTAATTTATAAAATCTAATTGATTATCTTACAAGTTACAATTTTGAAAATTCATGTAAAATAATTAAGCCACATGGATGGAAGTTATGTAGTTCAAATATGTAGGGTGAATCAAAATGTTAATATTTAAAAATATTAGGTTTGACAGTTGTTTTTCTTTTCATTTGATATTAGCAGTGTGAGTTTATAGTGGCTAAGCATAATCTTCTACACAAAACTCTCGTTTGACCGAATGTTTCATTGGTATATGTTCTTAAAAAAATCATTAAAAAAAAAACAAAAAAAGAGAGGTATAAATACTACAGATTGATTCCCTTACATATTAGTACTCTTAAAAAAATCACTTTCATCTAAGGTAAAAAAAAAAGAACAAGTTGATAGGTTTGATGGTGGTGATTGCGACGTATTTTAAGTTGAATAAAGCTCTCGTTTACAATTGGAGAAATTCATAAACAGCTTGGTCGTCGTGGTGCAATCCTCAATGCTCATTGTAATCTAGACGCTGATATGGGAGCCGATCAAGTAAAAAATGTTACTGCTCCATATAAAATGTACTGGCAAGAAAATATAGTCTATTTCAAAATGAGAACATATCATTGTCATCTATCGACTATCGGTATAGGAGGATTGATAAAAAAGATATGGAGAACTATTCTGATTTTCGAGCATACAGAGCAGCCGTTTCGTATCGGACTGGTCAGATACATGGCAAGACCTGATGGGGTTTACTTTTCCGGAAAGATTGGAGTACCACCAACATTTTCATATAGTTGGGCTACCAGAAAAGCTCTTAAAGCTTTTTTATAATTAACCATAAGGCCCTAAACCTAACTACAGTTGTACTAATATTTATGTAATACCAATTATAACCATCTTTCCAAATCTCCCTGGTAGAGATGTCAATATTCATTGTCGTACCCGAAACCGAAACCAGGATATGAAACTCAGAAAAGTAAAAAGTGGTGATCGAGCTAGATTTGTATTTGAGGAGCCATATTGATATATTTCAAAAGGATGGTACCGTATACAATTATCATGCATCGTTACATCGTATATAGGTGTAGTTAATCTGCAAAGTTTCCATGATTTCCGAACGTAACAGATCAGCCGCTCCGCATCAATGTGGTCAAGGCTACGTTTCTATGCCGCAATAAGTAAAATTTATTTTACCAGAAAGATTGGAGTACCATTAGCATTTCGTTGGTCCTCCAGAAAAAGCATTATTATAAACTAATTTTTTACACTATATGTAATAAGAAAAAACATGAGTTCTTCTCATTTATTTTTATTGCTTTTGTATAATAATGCAAGTTGTATTAGAAAAATTACAATAAATAAACAAGCTTTTTTCTTCTATTAAGGAGACAATAATTACGGACCCTAATGATTCCTTTATACAATTAAGTAAAATAAAATTCTCAAGGAACGTTTTACAGTTAAAAGTAAAAGGGGGACATTCTCTTGTCGTCTTTTTCCAATTAATCGATTAGAGAGAAACAAACTCTGCTCCTCAACCCCCAAAACCTAGCTCCCATCATCATCCACTCCTGATCAATCGATCCCTTCTTCTCCGGCGACGGATACGATGGACGTTTCGCCGCTTCTTGGTCGCAACAGACGTAACCGCCCACGTTCCTCTCAGCCGCTTCGTGGCGCTGCTTCGAGACTCCTCCGCCGTGCTAGCAACCGCCGGATGATGCTCCGGGAGCCCTCCGTTCGAGTCCGTGAGGTTGCCGCTGAGCAGCTTGAGGAACGCCAGAGTCAATGGGCTTACTCTAAACCCATTATTGTTCTCGATATACTTTGGAATTTCGTCTTTGTGATCGTCTCACTCGCGATTCTAGGGTTTAGTTCTGGAGAAGATCCTGATGTTCCTCTTAGGGTGTGGATTATTGGGTATAATTTACAGTGTTTGTTCCACGTCGGCTGTGTAATTGCTGAGTATAGACGTCGCCTAGAAGCTAATTCCCCCAGTAGTGGTGGTGATGATTCCTCCAATCACGGATCTCTCAGCGGAAGTGATGACGAATCTGATGATGGCTATGGCATTCACAACGCTGATGATGACCATGGAACTAGGTTCGATTTCTTATTCAGTTTGATTCTTCCAAATTTAAGTCATTGTAAGCTTGGATTCAGACCCATGTTTGGTTGAAGGAATCGTTAGGATTGTATATTCAAAGGTAAAATTGTATTAATGTTTTCAATTGAATGATATACCCCTCATGTCTTTTGCTATCCCAGTTTCACCAAGCACCTCGAATCTGCGAATACAATGTTCTCTTTTGTCTGGTGGATCATCGGGTTTTACTGGGTCACAGCTGATACCGAGGCACTAGCTCAATCTTCGCCTCAACTCTACTGGTTTGTTTCTAAGAGAGTTCCTGATTCTTGTGATTTTATTTCCTCAATAATGGATTGCGTCGTTGATCACATATCCTTGTTTTTGAACTTTGCAGGCTCTGTGTTGCATTCCTTGCCTTTGATGTTATGTTTGTTGTGATTTGCGTTGCGGTTGCGAGTCTTATCGGTATTGCTGTTTGTTGCTGTTTGCCTTGCATCATCGCCATCTTGTACGCATTAGCAGATCAGGTAAAGAAACACTATATGAGAATGGAGAACAAATGAAGCTCACGTTTCTTGATGGAATCCTAATAAGCGGTTTCTAAATTTCAGGAAGGTGCACCAGATGAAGAGATAGAAAGGCTTTTAAAGTTCAAGTTCCTCACAGTAAAGAATTCCGAGAAAGTGAATGGCGAAATCCGGGAAACTCAAGGAGGGATAATGACTGGATTAGGTGCCGAGTCTCAAACCGAACGTGTGTTATCTAGCGAAGATGCTGTAAGTAACCATAATCAAACCCCCTTTTTCCACCGAATTTTTGGATAAAGACACTGAAATGATTACCGAAAAATTGCAGGAATGCAGCATTTGTCTATGTGCATACGAAGATGGAGTAGAACTAAGGGAACTTCCTTGTAGACACCACTTCCACAGTTTATGTGTAGACAAATGGCTAAGGATCAACGCCACTTGCCCTCTCTGCAAATTCAATATTCTCAAGAATGGTGAACCTAGTGGCAGTGAACAAGTGTGAGGAGGAGAAAGATTTTGCTCTTTATTCTTTGACCATTACATAGAGGAAAGAACAAGATGGAAGACCTTGAGATTTGTTTTGAGACGAAGCTACACTACTTGTCTTTTTCGGATATAAATATATTTGTAAATGCAATAAGTATATATAGTTCGGTTTGAAAATGTGCTTCAGCGAGTCAGTTGTGATGTTGAACCGGTTGGGGTTTTAAAATCAACGGCGTAACCATGTTATTACTTCGCTCTGTGTGTGAGCCTATGAGGTGATTACGCAAAGCAAATCATTATTTACGTTTTTAGATGATTATTTCCTTTCAAACTTGAGAAAAAAATTAGAATGAAATAATCTTCTGATTAATTTCAAAACAGGAATTTAATTATTTCTTTTATTAGTATGATTTTCGAAAATATATATTGAATTTCTTACCATCTATACTATTAATTGGGGATCATTTTTAGTCTTTGTTGCCAAACAAACTTGAAAAAAAAATATTAGAAAAAATGTGATTGCAAACCTATTGCCAAACACATTTAAAGACAGCAAAAAATATAGTTAAATAAATAAAAAATAAAAACCAAAATTATGAATTATCTATATTTATGGAAACCATATTAAGTTTGTTACCATAAAAAGTGGACAATTAAATTCAAAATTAAACATATGTAAACATATTTTATATTAATTATATACTTTCCAAAATTTTTGAAAACACTAAATATATATTTAATGAAATGTAATAAAAAAACATCATCTTATATTTAAGGATTTATGGAAAAAAATTATATAATGCTAAACTTATAAAAAATCATTATATAATATTAATTATATAATTTTATGGAAAAGAAAGAT